GTGCTCGACATTTTCGTGCATTACTTACCGAATCGCGAATGAAAATAACAATAATTGTTCACACGCTCTCGGGAATGCCCACGCGAAAAAACTACGTGCTTTGTTATGTTGATCCCGGGGGAAATTATTCCTCGTTTTTCCGCGGGAGAGTCGCTCGACTTGTTTACTTAGGGCAGAGATTTCACTCCTTAAGGCCTTAAGCTCCTCGAGGGGGGCACCAGAATCGTTAGGGTTTCTGGGGGAACTCGCCGAAGCTGCCTGGACCGCGAACACGCTGTTGTTCGTTGGCGTGCGCACTTCAGCTATCTTATCAGCCATTTTTGCTAAATTGTCTAAGGATTCCGAAACTTATTGATAAAATGGCATGCACCTCGGAAGGTAACCTTTGCAGCCATAATGATTTTAAAAATTCGTCAGTTATACAGTTTCCACCTAATTCTCTCATTTTTCTCAATAAGTGAGATGGTTTGTCGTCCCCTAAATGCAATTCAGAAATAAGTCTGCGTATTTGCTCGCTTTCCGAATCTGAGAATTCTACCTATTAACCTAGCTTTAAGGGCATCATATTTAGCCGTCGCTGGGGGATTAAATAAAATATCTGATACTGCGGAAAGAGTTTCAGGGTCTATCGAAGAAACCACGTGGTTGTATTTTGTACTATCGCTACTAATCTTCGCTAAAGCAAAGTTACTTTCAACTTGAATAAACCAAAGTTTAACATTATTTTTCCATAAAGGGGGAATTTTAACTGCCACGTGTGAGATTTGTGGCTCCTGAACCGCCATATTCGATTCCTCGTTGGTTTGGCCTTCCGATCCTGGCATGGTTGCCAATTATAAATATATCGTAAATCGTAAACTTAATGTTTTGCACTATACCTTATCAAAACAGTATCAATTTAGAATAAAATAATGAAGACATTCAATATCTCAATAAAAGTGTGAGCACAAATATTACCCAAAGATCAATTTTAAACAATCAATAATTAAATTAAAACTATAATTTTAGAGCAAAACATATCACAAAAACATAATTAAGACCAATCACAGATAATTAAAAAAATTTGACCACATACCTGTAAATCCTCCTTAAGTGTGATAAACCACGTGTAATCCGTACGATAAAATGAGGAGGAAATGAAATAGGGTGGAGCCTTTATCAGTCATAAGGAAGAGCATTGGCATCAAAATAAGGCATATTTTTAGTTTTTTAACAAAGATTGAGACAGATAGTCATTAGGGATCGAAACAGAAGGAGCGAGGGACAGGGTCACCAATGATGTACGTGTGAGTAACACGTGCATACGAAAATATCCCTAACATTAACTAGGAAAGCCGAAATCTTAGTTAAGATAGACATGTTACAATTAATAATCAAATTTAATAAGGAAAAGTAACAGTTGCCGGGTACATTATAACGGCTTAAGAAATTCAGAGCACAGTACAGATGCGAGTACACAAGTTCACATATCTCGGCGAAAACAGAGATGCACACATTTGTTGAAGTAGTTCCACTTGACTGCCGGGGAAAATTCTTCTCTCCCCGTCAGCCTGTAGGTTTGCCAAACGGGTTTACTGTTTCGCCAATTGGCGCTTTTCTGTACAGTTTTTAAGTCCGTATCGCCTGTTTGGCGCTGCCGCTGCATTTGCATAGGATCATAATTTTTTTATTTAGGGTACTGTTGTTTGAACACCGATTGATCATTTGAAATGCTTTAACTTGTAAAACTTATATTTACTACATTGAATTATGGACATGTTAATTAATTTAATATAACATATTACTGAAAATAAGACCCAAATATTTTTCCCCCTTCTAAAATTATACAAATTCTTATTATTAGGTATTTTAATAAATGAAATTTCAGAATAAGGGGAAGGAAATTTTCATACTACATAGAATACTTACATTGTGTACCATATAGGAAATTACCATGTATATATAAACTGCATAACTTTCATAGCCATGTCTAGTTAAACAATTTTAATTTAGGCTTGTTATTATTATTATGCCTGACAATATTAGTATTATTATATTAGTATGCCTGACAACAAAATAGGTAATAATGTTAAATTAGTCCTAACTTTTCTTTCTTTTACCAAGGTAAAAATATGTATCGATATATTTAATTACTTTCGTTTTGCTCAGAAACAAATAAATTCTAACCCAAACCATACTCTCTTCAAATATTCAATATTTTTTATTTTTTCAAAAATCTGAGATATAATACTGTCTTATGCTCAGGAAATCTCATTTTTGAATAAATATAATATTTGAGGTTTTTTTTTATTTTTATTTTTTAGAAAAATATACAAAACCACTTACAAACATATTGTGGCATAAAAACATATAGATTGCACATGTACAACTAAAATATAATAAAAAAAAATGAAGATTCTGTTTCTTCAAAATTATTTTTTAGTTTAGCATTTTCAATGTTCTTTATGTTGATTTCATTTTTTTTTTTATGTTTTATTGTGTTTGAAAACTATTTAAATACAAAATTCTTAACAAGATTATATGTTTTCAGTTTAAAATTCTTTTGATCTAAATCATTTAAACCAAAATTTAACGTTTTGCTTTAATGCTGTATTTTATATATATATATTATATATATATATATATCTATATATACACATATATATATATAATTTAAGACAATGGTCTCAAATTTAACTAGCATGTGGGTTGAATACACAATCTAAAAACTACTGACGAGCCAGAGTCTCTTTTTTTTAACCAAATGAAATTTTCCTTACTAAGCCTTGCATAAACAATAATAAAATCGCAAGGGGGGGAACTCGAATTTATAATTTTTCTCCCATCTGCAATTTTTTTGGTATCTGCAAGACGGTTTTGTTGGTTACACTTCTTAATTCAATATATTGACGGCTAAATGTCACGTTTTAGATTTATATATACTTCAGATAGTTTTAATGTGTTTCATTAATCATTTAATAACTTAATTTAAATTTAAAATAAACTCATTATGAAAACTTGAGAGTAAATAATGGCAATCTAGTCTCTTTCTCTTATTTATTAAAAGTTCCTTTGATGCATAAATAAAAACATATATGTTGTATGTAAAATAAACATCTTTATTTCTTACTACAACTTGGCACTTGATAGCATTTAGGTTCTGATTATTAAGTTTGTAACCTCGGAAAGAAATTACATCTATCACAGATTGTGGATGCTCGTCGATCTATTGGGTTGTATTCATAATAATTCTGAATTGTGAAAAAAAGAGCTGTTTACATATCTGGTTGTAATGAAAATTTTCCGCCAAAAAATTTTCATAATAAAGTTAGAAAAAAGAACATGAAAGCTGTACCTTTAGTATGGGTAGTCACCACTTTAATGTGAGTAATCACCACCCAAATCTATGATTCACTTTAGTGCAAGTAATCACCGCAAAAATCTATGATTTTCTGCCAACGTTTTGGTAGTTTTTCAAAGCCTTTGGCCCAGAAATTTGGTGGCCGCGAGTCCGAAAACAGATCAACCTCACATCAGACATTCTTTGCAGAATGGAAGATAGCACCAGCAAGATGATATAACTTCAGGTGTGAAAAAGGTAGAAGTCCAAAGGAGCAATGTTGGGGCTATATAGTGGGTGTGGCAAATGATCCCATTCAACAGAGTCCAGCTGGTGAATGCAGACATGTGTGGCTTGCATTATTTTGATGGAACATTACCTATTTGCGGCAGAACTCAGTGTGATGTTTTTCCTTTATCACCACTGACTAGCATCTCGCTGTACACCTTACTGTCGAGGGTTTTACCTTTTTTCTAGTTACTCTTTATGGGTAATACCTCGGCAATCCCACAAGATACAAAGTATGATCCTTTTGTTAGTCAAATTACACTTTGCCATACTACCGACATCACCAACACAGGGCACAGACCAACTCCCTTTCAGCCTGTGTTGTTGAAGTAAATCCCTTTTCGTCACGAGTGACGATCTCGTCCAAACTTTTGTCCTTGTGTTGATATTTGAGCAGATTAGAGCAGGCCCAAACACGTATGACGTTATGCACTTGCGTCAGCTCATGCAGCACCCAGGAATTGAACTTATACATCAAATTTATGTGATGCATAGCATGACTAATGGACATCACACTAAAATCTAACTCCTTAGCAAGCTCTTGATTGGTTGCATACTGATTTTCTTCCATAAGTTTGCAGGTGGTACTCATCAACATCAGTAGGCCATCTAGAGTGCCCAGCTTCTTGAATGTCATAGTCCTTGTTTTTGAACTTTCGGTACCAAACCTTGACAGTGCCATATGTTACAACATTAGTACTTAAAGCTGTACACATGATTTGGTAACATTCTGTAGCTGACATTTTGCAAGAGAACTAGAAGTAAGTGATCGTTCTAATCTGGTAGCATGATTGTTCCATTTAAGACACCTTGTACTGAAGAAAATGATGTTTTTTCCCAAATTGCACAATACAATGTTCTAAAGTCTCTTTCTTTCCAATGCAAAAAAAAAATCATTTGACAAAATATGATTAAACACACCAATGTGAACTGTTTGCCCAGACAATATTTGCAGTGGCAGGAAACTTTTGTTAAAGCCCAATATAAATGCATTTCCAAACAAAGTGATTATTCTTAGTGCAAAAATTCGTAACTGAGAGCATTTATTTTTTGATATGCAAATGAAAGTTCATGAAAATGTATATCTTAAAAACAGGTTTATATCACATTATAAAATAATTATCTCCATTTATAGATTTTTTTTGCTTGTTATTCATGTCCATTTTTAATTTTAACGAAAATAACATGTGAACTCATATTTCAAATAAGTAAAATTTTTACAAATACCTTATTGAAATGTATTTGCAGCCAATTTGAGATAACTGATTCAAAATATTTTTTATCTGTATTATAGTTTTAAAGAATAAAGTGTTAAAATTCGCTGATTCATCTTGTACTATAATGATTCATATATTTTGTTTGCTTCAATATAATCAGTATGTTTTTTCTTCAGGTTATGCAGTTTGGTCGTATTGATGGAAATGCTTATACCCTTGATTTTCAATACCCATTTTGCGCCCTCCAAGCATTTGCAGTAGCTCTTGCCAATGTCACTCAGCGACTGAAGTAATCATCATCATCAACATTATTAATTCATCATTCTTTTCATATTCCATAGAAAAACTCATCGATCTTGTTGAGGTAGAATGTCATAGTATTGTTAGGTTAAACTGATAATTTAACCTTATTATGTTGCATGTATGTTTTTATATGACTGTGATAGAGCCTCATCCTTATAAATTTTATTTGTAAGCAATCAGATAATTTATACTTTAAATATACAGGGGTTATTTTAATTTATTTGTAAAGTATCTTATGTTAATTAACCAGTCATTACGATTTAAGTCTTTACTATAACTCCTCCTTTCTATATGAATTAGTCCAGAATGCAAATTAGTTTTGTGTGTCTTTAAGCTGAGTGTTTTGAATCTTTAGTTTGGCCAGAGAGCTTCTGGCTGTTCTGTCTTGCTGTTAGTATTTTTTTACCATCTCTGCTTGAGAGAGCACTCTTGCTAGTTAATATTTTAAATTACATGCCAGTAAAATGTCTGAGCCGAATTCTATCTTATATGTAGTCTTAAACTTGAATTTAATTATCTATTATGTTAGGTTGTATATCCACAAGCGGTAGAAATTTCGTTCATAGCTGTACCTTTATGTTCAAATTAAGATTAAATTTAAAAAAAAAAAAAAAGGTTATTTAAATCTTTTGTAAGTAGAATAGAAGAGAAATGTGCCAATGTGACAATCAAAATTTCAATAACAACCTTGTATTTAGCGTACATATATTAAAACAGTCAATCAATTTCGAGGGCAGCTAAAGGTCCCTCCTCATCAGGAGAACGAAATTACTAGAAAGGGAAAAAAGAAGAAACATAAAGTATTGGCAAAGGAGTCTCAGAAACACATGGTCGTTATTGAATAAATCGAGGTTCAGACTTGGTGCATGAAGATGCAGTTGCCCCTCGCTCCCTAGTTTTTTACTTCGATTTTTTTTTTTTTTTTTTTTTTTTTTTTTTTTTTTTGTGTGTGTGTGTGTGTGTGTTTTTAGTCTATGTGTTATATTTTTGATCAGATAGCTTGGCTCAGTAAAAGTAGGTGGCTCTGATTCAAAATATGATTATGACCACATGCAGTGCTGATAATGACCACGTGTTTCTGAGACTCCTTTGCCGATGCTTTATTTTCCTTCTTTTTTCCCCTTTCTAGTAATTTCATTCTCCTGATGAGTAGGGACCTTTAGCTGCCCTCGAAATCGATTGTTTTAATATACATACGCTAAGTACTTCTTCTGTAATTTGTAAGTTGTTTAAGATGTACCAATAACTCGCTATTTGCCAGTAGGGTCTGCAGGACTTAAGTTTTCAGTTTTATTAGCAACCTAGTTATTATTTTATGCAGCAAATAAAAACTTTTTATAGACAGTTGTATGTATAAATGTGATTTTATTTTTAAACTTAAGGTAATTAGTCATAATTGGTGGGGGGGATATTTGCATTCACATATCTTTTAAAATTTATCAAAAGTAGTTCTGCTTCTTTTAGTTTTATAATATGTTCATCTTTTGAGTATCTCATACTGTAGTAAAAATTGTTTATTGCTGAACAATACTTTTGTTCAGATTTCTGATATTTAGAGTAGAATAAGGTTAGGTTAGGTTATTCAATTACGGCAAAGCCTCAAGGGCTATCTGCCTAAGGGTAAGGATGCCTTCGTGGAGGACTTTCTAAGTGAAACTGGCTCGTATACATGTTACACATGGGAAAAACCATGAAAACACCCATTCGCGGGATTTGAACCTCGGACCGAACTCTCAGTGTTCAGCGATTTTACCACTTGGCCCCTGGTGGGCTGAGTAGAAGAAGGAATCCTTTGCTAAGAAGGTATTTTATTCAGATTTACATTATAGAGTGACTCGAACTTCTTTCTGTCTTATATATATAAGACATATATATATATATATATATATAAATCAGGGCTAAGATGTGTACCTACTTAATTATTATGTAAATGCAAGAAATGTAATTAATGCCTTTAAAACTATTTAATTTACTTTTTAAATATGACCGGTGACAGGTTTCCTTATGTCAATCATTATCAATTAGATATATATATATATATTCAATAAGAGTCAATTATATGTATAAGAAGCTTTGTCTACTGACCTTTGAGTTTTTATATGTATACATATATGTTATATGTTATAAGTCTATAGTCATGCCCCTACATCCACAGTTTACATACCCTCAGTCAGCACCATCTGTGCTTTTTAAGAGCCCTATTTTATTGCTTATGCAGATGGAAAAGAATAATTTTTCATAACAGCTAACTCTTCTAAATGTTCATATTTCCCAGTTTTTAATTTTCTTTTAGCTTTTACAAGGAACAATTACTGAGAAAAATATACAATTATTGAAATTTGTTAAATTAATGAAAAGGAAATTGCTCATACTTCATTTTCTTGACCTTAGTGACTTTCTGCATTATTTTTCATATTAAATTTTATTTGATCTGAATTATCTTAATCTGCTGTAGATATTAGTAGAACTTTTTGTGAAGATCAAACTAATGTTTAATCAAGTAATAGTTTTATTTAATTTTGTTTTGCATCAACTGCATTACTAAGTTATTATTCAGGCAATGGCATGTATATTAATTATTAGTTTTATTTTCATCATATTTTAAAGTATGTTGATAAATAAAAGCTTTCATACTCAGGACTTTGTTAGTATAAAAGTTTTAAAAAATTGCAAAATGCAATTAGCCAAAGATTATAAAATTTAGACTTTATAATTAATTATTAATATATTTTGCATCAGAACCATATTATAGGTAATTAAATAACTTGTTGTTGTCATTCCATATTGCATGGGAGAATGGTTGCCAGAGCCTACTCCAAAGAGAGGTTGGACTTCTGTTTTTCAATAACTAGAATCATGCACTATAAATTGAACTTATCAGAGTGTTCTTTTGAAGTACTGTCATCACTAGTTCAGTTACCTCCTGGAAACTTCCAGTTTGACATATTTTGAGGTTGGCAGCGGTTATTTTTCTTGTTTTGCTAGTACTTTGCACTTTTGGGACAGCAAGTCTGCTTAGTCTCTGATGGAATAAGGCATGTTTTGTAAACTCAGTATTCTTAATGTGTGGAACATTTCTGTTTTGAGTATACAACAAAAAAAAAACTATTTCATAATTAATATGCATAATTTTTTACTCGTGAACCCTTTATATACAGTATTGTATGGTAAATTTATTACTCACTACTGTATCATTTCTTGATGATAGACTTAAAAAGTCAGAATTCTGTACTTTCAGATGTACAAGAGATAGAAAATACCATATAAATATGTAATAAAGCATGCAATATGCTGTATTATGAATTATGGTATTGTCTGTAATCATGTAACTGTAATTTTCAGAATACATTCTCCATGAATAAGGGAGCATTACTATGCATGATTTTTAAAAACTTGGAAGTTATATAAGTTGAGGAAAATTCTACAAGTTAAATCTTGATACAAAAGTATTATGAAGTATTAACCCCTTCGAGCGGGGTAGCGAAAACGCACACTTATCGCGGAGGCCGGCAGTGTCTTCCGCGAGTGTTTCTCCAGGGCCGGGGGCTTTTTTGCGACTAAGCCTAATTCCATGAAATTTCCAAAGTATCAACGCATTGTTTAATAATGCTCTATAGAGTATTTAAACGGCTTATGCTTTATAGATATTTTTATATATATACTTTAATTACCTTATTTCTTGTTTAAACACATATTTTACACATTTTATTTTAATTATTCACCATTTTATGACTTTTAACATTGTACATCTGAAAACTAAATATATTACTTAAAATTCTCTTTTCGTATGAAAAATTTTAAAACAGGGATCTACACACAGTCCTACGTTACATTCCTTGAACTCGTAATAACTCATTTGCCGTTTTGGAGGATTTTTCCGGGAATGTGAACAAACGAAGCATCGTCGTCTCATTTTCTTATCAGTCTCTTCTGAACAAAGTTTTGGAAAATGTCTTTCAGTTAATCTTTCAGAATCAATATCAGAATTTCAGAATCAATATCTGAAATATTTTGCATCATTTCTGCTATTTCATGCTCTGTTAAACATTTTCGACGCTTCGACATTGAAACGGTAAAAACAGAAAGAATTCACGTCTAACAAGATCTAATTATTTTCTAAAAACTGAACTGTAAACGGAAATACTCAACGCTTTAGCGCATATAAAACTTCTACTTACAATAAACAGCTACCACGTGTGAATAAAGTGCGATTTAAAGAGATGTCATAAATCACGCCATTCGGAAACATTTAGTTCTCCGTTTGTTTATATAATCAAAAACACATGTATGTGAGTCATGCTTCTCTCATTTCGAGTAGAAGGTCTAATGTACATGTATCTGAAACCATATGGACATACAGTGCCATCTTGTGGCAGAAATTATAGTTTGAAAAGCATTCCAAGGTACTGGCACAAATACATGACAGTCGGTAGAAAATGCAACAATGCTCTGGCACGCCTGCGTGTCGGCCGGTAGATAAGTGTGTTCGTTGCTGGCACGTATACATGACAGTCGGCGCGAAGGGGTTAAATAAATTAAAAAATAGAGAAGTGTTATTGTTGAAAATGTAGTAATGCTATTTACTTCATTTTTTTCTTCATTATATATTTTAATATTAATGAAAATTTATTATCAACAGCAAATCTATCGTTATTTAGAATCATTTATTATATTTTAAGCATTAAAATAAAAGATTTTTCAATATTTTAGTCAAAAGTGTGGCACCTTTGAAGAGGAGATATAATTAAATGTTCTCAAATTTTCTCGTATGTTTCATAAATACTAAAACCTTTTTTATTTTGAATATTTTCAGAAGTATTAAGAAAAGTTTGAAAATAATAATTTTTGACTTTCTTTTTCAAGCATTTTCAGGTAACCAAAGTATAAGTCTTAAATGACTACAGACTTGAAATGACAAGGAAATTCAAATCTGTAGTCTAATAAAAATGGGAAAGAAAAAGTATTTAAATTTATTTACTTAATAAAAAGCATTTCAGATAGTCACTTTTTGGCAGTATAGAAATCTTGTTATTTAAAAACTGGCAATCAACTTTTGCTACTGATGAGTACACATTTGATATTTCATCATTATATAACTTTAAAATAACCTCTGTATCTGTATATATAACTGAAATTGAGGCTTTATCACAGAATTTATTAGTTGCCTCACTGAATGCAGTAATATTTATCTCTCGTTAAATTAATCCCAGATTTTTATTTTGGTTTCTCCCATCCTGTGATAATAGTCCTAGTAATATTCATTGACTACCATAAGGTTGCAGTTGTTTAATTTTATTAATGTATAATAGGATGCGTAGTTATGCTCAAACTATCATTACTGAAGTAGTACTTAGAATTGTGAGCAAAGACTGTGCTACAATATTCCGTCTCAAAGAATGCTCAGTCCATTTTAGAGCCAAATAAAACTTCAGCATTCATAGAGGGATCCCCAGACTTAATGTGCATTTAGTTTCTAAGATTTAGATTGTGTACATATGTATTAGAATGATAGTAAAATATATTGTATATTGTTTTCAATTACTATTGCATTGTTTATGTTTGTTCATCAATTTATTTTCAAAAGAATGGTAGTAGGCCTCTTACCTCTTATTTTAGACAAATAGTATTAATAAATGAGAAATTAGAATTTTTGCACTTCAGACCTGGTATAATGTAGGATAACATACACTATG